CGTAAGGTCATGTCAGTGGTTCATTCCTTAGCTCTGAACAATGAAATCATTTATCACGGTACTGGTTTCAAAACTATTTACATTTAGATATGACTGTTTATGACCTGCTCAGCCAAATATAGCCCAGCTTTGTTTCGAGAACTGATGAGGAAATATTCATCGGTGCTTGCATATGAGTGCTTCCATAGACTTCTAGGAAGTGTGACACATGCAAGGATTGGATTTCAGTGGCGAATTACCAGTTAGGAAGTCAGTGTCGGACTGTCTAATATTTCTTTATCGGTTAAAAAGCAAGTGTCAGACTGTCATATATTTCTTTGTATCATAAAGTGTGAAGTGATGCAGTTCAAACTCGTGTACAGTCTGAACAGATTATTATTGTATATAGTGTGATTATATTTACAACATCACCATGATTCAAGGTTGAAGAAAAAACAATGGGTAAGTCCTTTGGAATTTCATAACATATATAATAAAGATTATATTTTGCATTTCATGACAAAATAATCACAGTAATTTTTCGTTTGTAAAAGTTGCTCTTTTGTGTGTATGTAGGAAATTTTATTGTCTTTCAGTTTGTTTTTAGTTCATATTTCTATGTTGCATAGAACGAAAAATATATATTTTTTCTGAAAGTTTGCAATGTTAATTAATTAGGGCGATTTAAATACTGACTGCACAGGGCTCCCGGCAATTTAAAAGTCCATACGTTAAAGGTTAAGAGGACTCTCAAGGATAGTGTGCGCTTGAGAGGTTGACAAGTAGCTCAAGACTGTCCACGAGTTTTGGCATTACGGGCCATATTGGTGGGTTAGTTACCATAAGTTCATCTTATATGAAGCTTTTGTTGCAACTAACTGCATGAAACAGAAGCACAGACAAATGTGGTGAATGTGAAGTTGGTCTGACAAAGTCACCTACAGAGCAACAAAACACTTTAACTGAAAGGAAGGGGGTATATCGCAACCCTTGTTCTGCACTGTCAAAGGATAAAGACAGCTACATATTGCTCTACCAGAGAAATATCAGACACAGCCTCAAATGTCTGCTTTCATGTTCGTATTCTTAAAAATTTGTAGTTATGTTTACAACATATCTACATACAAAGTTTGACATTCTAATCAGGAAATGGTCTTAGTACCTTTAGTTTTTTCCTGTTTGTATATATAATTGTCATTATTTTCCATATTTTGTGCAGCCACCATATCACTTTAATCTCACAAAATATGACCTTCACAGATGTTGCTTATTATATCAGTACCTTTTACAAGACAATTTTTGGATGGCACATTAGGTGGTGTCAATGTTGAACTCACTTCAGAAATACATACAACCACCATATTGGTACTACTGCAGGTAAAGTAAAGCTGCCCCTGCACCTAAGTATACCACATCAAGGCATACTAAGAAAAGGGAGGTAAAGTTCCATGCCTTCTTAACCTTTAATGTACGGACTTTTAAATTGCCAGCAGCCCTGTAAGGCCAGAATTTAAATCACCCTAATTAATTATCATTGCAAACTTTCAGAAAAAAATGCATATTTTCCATTCCATGCAACATAGAAATATGAACTAAAAAGAATCTGAAAGACAGTAAAATTTTCTACATGTACATAAAAGAGCAAGTTTTACAAATGAAAATTAACTGTGAATATTTTGTCATGAAATGCAAAATATAATCTTTATTATATATGATATGAAATTCCAAAGGACTTACCCATTGTTTTTTCTTCAACCTTGAATCATGGTGATATTGTAAATATAATCACACTATATACAATAATATTTGTTCAGACTGTACGCGAGTTTGAACTGCGTCACTTCACAGTTTACGATAACTCACACTCTGGCGTGTGTGCCACTTCTCGAAGCAGTCCTCCACATATAGTGCAACGTCACACTT